TCTATCCAACCAAACACAAAAGAAGAAAAACGTATCATTCCTACTTTCTTTTCTTGAAGGATAAAAAATATATCCTTTTTACTTCTCATTCTCTATACTTTCTACCTTTCTGCGTTAGAGTAACGTCTTAGCCTTAAACTTTGTTCGGCCATGGTTTTTCATTTGCTTGTTTAGGACTGGGCTGGACTGGCTGACATTAACATCACAATATAAGCCTATTAAAGCCCGGCCCATCCTCCAGGCTGTATTACCCACACAAGAGAATCGTTCGTATCGGTCAGTGATTTCTTTTTAATTTTTCATACTTAAAAGTAAAATAAATGTAGTTATATACATAAAATAGTATATAGTGAAAATTGAAACCAACTACGATATGACGAACTCTTTTGACAATAAAGATAGAAGCAATCTCTTCGGATTATTAAGGACACGTATTATAAATTTTTTTGTAAATAGGTCAAATAACAACAATAGAGTATTTTTACTATTCCCAGACAATAACAAAGATATTATTGTTACTATCGTGGGACAATAATAGAGACACTATTACTATTGCGTGGATAGTAACAGTGACACTGTCAATATCTTATATATATATAAAAAATTATAAAAATTATAAAATAAAGGATATTTGAATTTATTTTAAATTTTAAAATGTAAATTTTATATGATTAGTTTAATTATGAAATATTTAAAATTAAAGAGATTTGATTTTGTTTGATTTTTGAATTGTGTATTTGATTTTGTTTGAATTTTGAATTGTATATTAAAAGAAAATAGGGTATTTTCATCTTTACACAAATAGATGTCCTTAAAATCCCACAAAGTATATGTTTGGATATTACTTTCAAAAATCCGTAATATATATTCATATATTAAATTAATATGGGTATCTTTTTAAGACCTGATTTGGAAAGTCAAAAGCCCAATGTCATAGACCCAACATATCTGTGGCCCCCCCTAGTTGGCCCAGCCTAAATAAGATAAGTTGGACCAGCCTATCATCAGCAAAGCTCAGGCGTTGGTCCCATTGTTGAAGACACAAACCAAATCCAAGACGATATAGACCCATTATCAGTTCGGGGGATATGAAAGTATATTTTTTAAAATAATTGGGATAGAAGTATATATACTAAAAAAAAATCATAATTACCTCTACCATAAATAATGCATACATAATTGAATGTGAGACTTTCAAGATTCTATTGATATTTGTATATCATTTGAATTTTGAAATTTCAAATAAAAATACCAACGGACTTTTGGTCTAATCGTACTCCTTACTTTGTGAAAATATTATCTTCTTGAGGTCATAGGTTCAAATCCCTCCCTCCCCTCCCTCACCCCCCAAAACAAAATTAAAAAAAAAAAGAAAGTAGCAATGCTCTTAAATTTTATGTCATGAGTTCTATCACATTCTCTTTCAGACTTCTTTTTAATTTTTTGTGATTATTTTCTTTTTTATTATCGAAAGAGCAATAGTATATGAATATAATTTGAGGACTTAATCAGGAATCTAATTTAATATAATCATTGAATTAGTTTGTGAGTTCCAATATTAAATAGACCCACTACCGACCCAAGATTATATCGTCGAGCAATGTTATGTCATTTGTCTCTCTTATTTGCTAAAGCATCTAAAGACAATGGGCTGTCTGTCAATAGGTTCCTCCAAGCATATGAATAGGCATCAGGACAAACTATAAATCTGGCCCAAGTCTGCGGTGGTGTTTGGTAGAAATGTGGGCGGTGCTGAGAAAGAGGAAATCATAGAGGTGTTACAGATACAAATGGTGGATAGTCATGTGAAATATCTGGGTCCCTCATTGATTGTTGGTAAATCTAAACATGAACTTAAGGTAGAGAGTCTGGAAATAGATTCAAGGCTGACAGAGTAAGCTACATTCATAGGCGGGTAAGGAGGTATTAGGCTTCAATCAATCCCCACACATGCAATGTCGTGTTTTAAGATTCCTGCTTCTCTTTGTAATAATTTTAATAACATGATGACACCTCCTTTTTGTGGGGTTCTTCGGATAGTAAAAAGAAGATACATTGGAAAGTATGGGATAAACTTTGTCTGCCGAAGTTTAAGGGTGGCATGGGATTTAGAAACCAAGAAGCCTTTTATTTAGCTCTTCTTGCTAAACAGGCCTGGAGGTTACTTCAAAACCCAACCTATTTATTTACTCAAGTAATTGGTATGCATTGGCGGGTGGGTAAAGGAAACAACATTAAGATTAAGGGGATAAATGGATTCCAAGGCCCTCATCTTTTCGGGTCATTAGCCCTCTTTCTGAACTTCATGATGATGCTTTGGTTAGTTCAGTTATTAATTCAGATCGGAGGTGTTGGAATTTGGAACTCGTTTGTAGGTATTTTTTGGATTTCGAAGCGAAGGAAATTTCGACAATTCCCATTTCTGACCAACTCTTTGCTAATGACTTGGTTTGACATTATAACAAATCCGAACATTTTTCGATTAAAAGTGTTTATCGATTGATAATGGACCAAAATCCACATAAGCCTAATGGTGGGAAATGTGTGGTGAGTACCAGTTCTGGAAGATGGCAAGGGGATGATCTGTGGAACAAAATCTACATAAGCCTACGTGGATGATCTATGTGGTGGCTTTAAAGAAACAATGAAGCATATATTTCAGATATTGGGATTGTTACTGATCTAATCCAAGAGTAAGCAATCTGTTTTTCTAACACTTTCTCTCTCTTGGGTTTGTCGTTCTTGCAACAAACCAACCCATGTTTCAGGTAGAGTTGCAATTAATTGTAAGGATGTTGCTGTATTGCAGGGAGTCTGCTCCTTTATTTTTAGTTCTATCTCTTGACAATGTAACTCCAATTTCTAATTAATAGAATCGACCATTTCTTATAAAAAAAAATGTTATATAAACTTAATTTAGAGACTTTATTAAGTACCTAATTTAATGAAGACATTGAAATAATTGTGAAGTTTAATATTGGATGAAGTCGGCGATCAATCTAATAATTATATTGAATTAGGTACGGAGATCAGATCCTCAAATTTGGTTTAAATAATATATATTTTTTTTATCAAAAATGTGATATCAATTTATTTATATATTTTTTGTTTTAAAAAAGTAGAAGTAATATTTTAAAAGTTAATTACAAATTAGACCCTCAAAGATCTTTCGAATATCAATTTATATCCTCGAAAATAAATTTTTTTAATTTATATCATCAAAGATATAATTTTGTATCAATGCACACATAAAGCTAACAATCGTCCATTTACGGTCTAAATTTAGTTGGGTAAGTTACACTTAGGCCTCCTCAAGTTTGTCATTTAACTCCCTCACATTTAGAGTATTACTCCTGCATTTTTTGACGTTTATGGACGTGTAACACATAACTTCTTGTCATTGATATCTATTAAAATAACAGTTGAAAAACCTAATTTCATCTTAATGAAAAATTATAATTTCATATTATCCTTTATTTTATAGGCATGTTATACTCTAAAATTTAAAATCAAGCTTATAATTTGAATGCTCAATGTAATACATGTTCTTTACATCTAATGCAATACATCATTTGAATAAATTTATTTAGATTTTCAAAGGATGTATGTGTAATATTTTAAATATAAAGAGTTTAAGTGATTAAATGACAAACATGTTAGATCTAGGTATAATTTATCTATTTAGTTTTAAACGGCAAAGTGACTGTTGTTAGCTTTAGATGCATATTGATATAAATTTATATCTTTAAAGATAAAATTTAAAATTTTTTATCTTAAAAAATATAAATTAAAATTTTTGATGGAAGATTCGAACGATAGCAATTTATGATTAACCCATATTTTAATAATAACTTTTGATAATGCATCCCAAACAAGCCCATTATTCCCCGCTAGAGATGGCAGATCAACGTCTCCACCAGTGGCTAATTCACGTCGTGGTAATATATCACAAGCCGATAGCAAATCTTCTTAGAAACGTAATCAACTCTCTCTCTCTCTCTCTCTCTTCAAAGTTTCTTCCTCTCAAAGCGACTAATCAAAGCTGAAAAATACTTTTCAGATCTCGTCAAACGTCAAGTCTCTCTCTTTCTTCTCTCACTCTCTCTTGTAGATCTTGAGCGCCGGAGCAGCTTCTATTGGCAGTTTTTAGCTTCTCTCTCTCCGCTTTTTTTCACTGTGTGATTCATCGATCTGACGCATACTAGGTACAATTGCATCAACAACTTTTACTTTTCTTTTTTCCGATATCTTGCTTAGATTTTCAGGAAATTTCTTGGTCTATTGAGGTAATCGGATTAGAGCTCTCAAGCTCTTGAATTCGTATCCCATTGGTGTATATATCAGTTCTTTAGAATAGATCCATATGTTAATTTTCTGTTTTGTGTAAATGTGTTTCAAAGATTGGTGTTTGTGAATCTATAAGTTCTTAATTTCATTGATCTATATAAAGTGGATGTCTTCGTTATTGTATGTGATGATTTAGGGTTTAACTCTATAGATACGTCGAGTGTGTGTCTTTGGATACGTTTATGTCTGGATCTGCCACGTCTGGACTGTTTATTGTTGTAAAGGAACTGATTCTTAGATGAAATTTCTCCGAGATTTAATTACAATGTGTATTTTTCTTATCTCTAATGTTGTAAATTGAGGGATTTTGGCACAAATTGCATTTTTTTCCCATTCCCACATATAGGAATTGAAGTCTAGAATTGTATAAAAAGAAAGTAACAGAGAGAAAAAGGTAGGGATACATACAGAAACATGGAGGAGTAGATGGATTTTGCCAAGTAGGTTGAAGGCGATTAGATGTCTGTTAGTTGATGGACGATGGGTCCTTGTGATGGAAATTTTAATCCTCACATAAAAAAACTTTTTTGGGAAAAAAAAAGTTAGAGGTGAAGAAGATGATGCAGAATGAAATTAAACAATCCCAACAATCCTTTATATGTTTATTGCCTTGATAGTAGCTATTCTTCCTTTAAGAATTGAGGGTATATCTGATGTTGATGTGCTGTGAGAAGCAGCATACTTGGGTACTTTTGAGAATTGAGAATGTGGTTTCATATTATGTTATATTAGGCAAATGTCATTCAATTCCATGTTTCAATGCCATTGACACCTTGTCCAATTCTCTGCCTATTTTTGCAGGGCCTTTTATTTTTCCTCTATCATCGTCAGACATGTGGAGATTCAAACAGTTCATGCCCAAAGAACAAAATGGGCTTGAAGGTCGCAGTATTGACATTGGCGATCTGAAAGTTCATGTTCGCAATGTCATTGCTGAGGGTGGATTCTCATGCGTTTACTTAGCTCGAGAAGCAATACATGGTTCAAAGCAATATGCTTTAAAGCACATCATATGTAATGATGAAGAATCTCTGGAACTGGTAATGAAAGAAATCAGGGTGATGAAATTGCTCAAGGGACACCCTAATGTTGTCACTCTTCATTCCCATACCATTTTTGATACGGGTCGTACAAAAGAAGCTCTTCTTGTTATGGAATACTGTGAAAAGTCTCTTGTTAGTGTGCTGGAGAGCAGAGGAGCTGGGTACTTTGAGGAGAAACAGATCCTTACAATCTTCAGAGATGTCTGCAATGCTGTCTTTGCTATGCACTGCCAGTCCCCACCCATTGCTCATCGGTAAAGACGAAAGAAATAAATATTTTTAATGTTTGTCAGTATGCTTTCTGTAAAGATTCGGATGGTGAAGCGAAGCCCCTCCTCAAAAGAGGGACAAGCAAGAATGGCTTAGATAACTTGTCTTGTAAACCATGCTTGCATTGGCAACAGTAGTACAGCTGGATTAATTTGGATCTTCCCTTTTCCTACCTTTCATGGTTTCACCTTATTTTTGCATTGAGAAACATGGGTCATCTTTTTTATCTGTGGAAGGGAATGCTGTGGGCGAATCATATGTTTCAATTTTTAAGTTGCCAGCAATCTACCTTTCCAAAGTTGCTCGGTTTACTTCTTATTTTCTCACCCACTAAAATATGTTATAAGACATCCTTTTTTTGTGAGAAATCTTTTATGATATTTTTCTGCTGCATGTTTCTGCATGTCATTCAATAGGGACTTGAAGGCTGAGAATCTTTTGCTGGGTTCCGATGGACTATGGAAGTTGTGTGATTTTGGTAGTACCTCCACCAATCACAAGCGCTTTGAGAAACCTGAAGAAATGGGCGTTGAGGAAGACAATATCAGGAAGCACACAACGCCTGCCTATAGAGCCCCTGAGGTTGAATGAAACATGTTCTTGATAAGTAAATGTGATCTTTGTTGGTATAAATTTTGATTTAGTTTTTCCTTTCTTGACTTAGATGTGGGATTTATTACGACGAGAACTTATAAACGAGAAGGTGGATATTTGGGTAAGTCAATCAGACGTCCTGTATCTGCATGATGGCTCTGGCAACAGTTTGAATTTTCCTGTAATCCTTTCAGCATTATGCTATTTGAAACATACTGAGACTAAATTTCATTATTCTGCAGGCCCTTGGTTGTCTTCTCTTTCGCATATGCTACTTCAAGTCTGCATTTGATGGTGAATCGAAGCTACAGATTTTAAATGGGAATTATCGCATTCCAGACATGCCAAAGTACAGCACATCAGTTACAGACCTCCTCAACGACATGCTTCAATCTTCACCGGATGCCAGGCCAGATATCACCCAGGCAAGCGTTTTGCTTGATAGGCCATTCATCTCCATGAACTTAGGTTAGTTGTAGATTATTTGTGGCCATGGCAATCATAGGTGCTGGCCTTGTCTTTATGCTTACTGATGTACTTGGTTAACTTCTTTGTGGCAGGCATGGTTTCGTGTTAATAATCTATTACCTGATGGTTTACAAAAGTCATTACCCGACAGGCCACCAGAAATGAAGCAACTGGGAACTGACATGCATGAAGGTAAGACATTATTCTTGCATTAGAGCTTTAGATGTTAGTATGTAGAATCAAATATATCTTACTGTCCATGTTTTGGTTGAAAACCAAGACAATGTTTCACTAGATAGATTGGAGAAATTTACGGTAAAAATCAGCCTATTGGTGGTTGGTTTAATTTTCTTGAATTTCGATATTAAGGGTTGAAATATTCAGAACTTAATTAAAACCTTACTTCAGTTCAGAAAATCTGATGCATGCTGCTGATTGGCAGGCATTCCAAAGCCTGCAAATAAGTCTAATTTGGTGCCTCGTAGAAGTCCGCCACCACCACCTTTAGCTGCAGAACCAGCTAGGAATGTATCACCACCATCACTCAGTTCTGGGGTAGGTGGAGGCGGAGGTCCTCTGGGTGCTTTCTGGAATACTCAGCATGCAAAGGATTCAGTTGTGGAGGACAACAGCAGGCTCAAATTTGATGATGAAGTGACCATCCATAGCTCCTCAAGACCAGATAGAAGTCGTACAGAGAGGCTTCCAGTTTCCCATAAAAATAGCCCTCCAATAGAGGAAAATCTCCAAGCTCGACCTATCTTAAGAAATGTGCATCGAAAATCTGTTAACCGGTCTGAGGATGGCCCTTCAAAAGACTTTGAAATCAAACTTTTTCAGGACGATTCAGACGACGGCTGTAGTGAAATATCAAAAGGATCAAAATCAGAGAATACACCTGGCTTCCAAAGTGAGGCTTTCAATGCTTTTGTCACTGAATTTGGTACCAATAAACTTAACCCTGGAAGTAGTAGTAAAAAATCAGGGAAGGAGGATCTGTTAGAGGCTGAGATAGAAAGGCTGAAAGAACAGCTGAAGCAAGCTAACATGGAGAAGGCTGAAATAACCTCCAAATATGACAAGCTATCTGCCATTTGCCGATCACAGCGGCAGGAGATACATGAGCTTAAGCAAACTCTTGGTGTTAGAAGAACCCCATCACCAAATAGAGATGCGTCCAAACATCAGACTTCTCCTGGAGTTCAACCACCAACTGCCCCACCGGTAGTTTTTCCTTAACATCTTGCAGTCGCTTTTTATTATATTCTTCTTGGTATCACATTTTGATAATCTGACCCTCCCATGCCCCGCGATGGTGGGAGCTTCGTGCACTGGGCTGCACTCTTCTTGTCATTGCACTTTATACGTAGTTTTATTCATTTTCGTTGCAGCTGAGGGAGAAAGAAAGAACAGTTTGGGACCTCCCACACGGACCATTAGAGAAGAGTTCCCCAAGTCCAGATCCTAAGTTGTGGCAGGCCTTTGCCGAAGATCCTAAGCCACAGACAATGCTTATGAATAACACTTCCAAATCTGTTAGAACAAGAAATGGTCACCAGCACAAACAGGCTGCTGAAGTTACCTCAGGTGCTAGCTCATGGGGTTTTGGAACAGACAATTTTATGGCAGTTCCCGTCGCAAACTCTGAGATAAACATTCCCTTTACTGAATTGAATAATTCTCAGCGCTTTGTTGAACCAAAGAGCGTTGAAAAAAAGTCAACCTCTCAACCTGCAGGATGGGCTGGTTTCTAATCTTTATGTTTTCTGCCATAGCCGAACTTTCAAGTTTGAAAGTGACCGCCACAGTGACTATCTTCTTTGTTTTGTGTGATTGAGAGGCTGAGGAAAGGAATGACAAAAATGAAAGAGGGAAACGAAAAAATGGTGCCACAGGTTTTTTTTGGTGTTGGTTGTGTATTGTGTAGATTTGGTTACAGAAAAGAACAAGAACATGGGACTTCCATGGCTTATTGCAGTCCCTATCCTTGGGTAAGATTATATTCAATATCCCATATATTCCATCATGTTACCACTTTGTTTTTATGGTTAGAACATTCTAATGGGTATCCTCGTAATGATTCTGTCAATGTTTTATGATAAGAGTATGGGTAGACATGTTTCTGGAAGTTTGAGCAAATGGGAATATGATATTCGAATTGGAAGACATTGTGATGGCACAGCCTTAAAATTAGCAGCCTGTGAGCGACCTGATTCTTGTGCTCATCAGTTGTCATTGTTAAGTCAATGGATGGGGTGTGATCCGATCGAATCCGAATTAGATTTGTTGGATACATATTATTTTTGATTGATTATTAGAATTCAAATTCAAATCCGTTATATGATATTCCATGACTTTGAATTTGGATATACCGATCAAGGATAAAATTTTTGTTTCGGTGTATCATTCCAATCACCTTGAAAATAGAAATATTTTGACTCGTTTTGAAAATTTTTCAACTTGTTTTGAAAACAAAATAAAAATCAATAAAATTTTGAGAATAATTTTTTCAAAATATTTGTTGAAATATACTAAAGAATTTTAAAACGCCTTGAAACATTGTGAAAAATTGTCAATGTGATAACATATTACGAAACATCTCGAAATATTATGTAATACGTCAAAGTACTAGAATTTTGATTTTATCACTAATTCATTTTTAATTTTTTTAGAAATTAAAACGTTTCGACTATTTTGAAATAAAATGTTAATCCTGCATATACTGATCCCAATTAAATATTCATATAGATGTATAGGGTGAAACTGGACGATTGTATGGTGAAACTAAATTCAGGTCTTATTACTCATTCGGATCGAAATGGACTTTTAATTTTTTAACAGATTGGATAGACCATGAAAATATCTTCCATTTTTTAAGCGGATTAGATATAGAACATGAATTGAAATAAATTCGATAATGGGTCGGATCTAAATTTGGATCAAGGAAAATACAATCCGAATCTAATCCGGCAAAATGTAATTGCTTACTAAGCACTTCCACTCGTTACTAGAGAAAATATTCAATGCAACAGTAATACAATATCAAATTAATAATTATCACAACAACTTACTCCCTTTACGTGTACGTTAATAAGTTCTTTGCACATAGCTATATAGTGCTGAAAGGCAATACTGGGTAGTGAATATATAGAATGACCTATATGTATATCTATTTTCAGCACCAAAAAAAAAATGGGAGGGGGGAATCAGCCTAGGCAGGAATCATAAAGTCAGCAGTTTATTTGATGCAATTCCCTTTGCATACAGAGATTTGTAGTCAATGAAACACCAGACGGTCAAATTACCTGAAAAAAACAAAGTATTATAGACGAATTCAAATTCAACAAAAAAGAAAAAAAACTTTCCCTTTTGTGCTACGCGTTTTTTGGAAGATTACTACTATTTTGACCTAAAAATTTGACATAATTTATTGACATAATGATGTGGCTTAATAAAAATAATTAGATCAATACCAAATTTCAATGTTTGATGGGATCTACAGTAAATTTAAATGTTACAGTGAATTAGGTCAATAAATTATGACAATAAATTAGTTTATAATAGCATTGCTCAGAAAACAGGGAAATGGTGATTGAAGCAATGGAATATAATTAGTTCGAACAGAATAGTCAGCAATTCATAATGGAGATGAGCCAAATTCTAGCGTAATTTAAGCGTCAAGGCATAAAATAGTGTTGTTTTCGGTGCTCTAATTATTTTTCTTTTTATTCTTTGTTTTGGTAGTGGATATCCTTCCAATCATGCATCTTTTGAACTTGTATCTCCAATGTAAGACCTCATGATGAAAGTATTCATCTGGTAACCAGGTGCATCGGTCAAACCCAAAGTTTATGTCTGTAAATCTGAAATTCAAGTGCCGGCCGGCCGGCCTTTATTCAACCACTCAATCAAAAGGGGCCAGTTAATTTGCCGGTCTGTTAGTCAAAAAAACGTGTATAGATTAGATCAAAGAGAAACTTTTCCAGTAATTTAATAAAAAAATTTAGGACAGAGACTTCATGAGGAGGTAGAACCTACCAAGATATCTCACTGTAATTCTTAATATGTTTGCACCTGCAAGCCAAGATACCCAGAAATGGTTTCTTCAGCTCTTCCCCATCTTCTCTCTCTCTTGCTTCTTTCTCATCTCCCTCCAACTGTGTTGGGGATCAGTAGATCTGACTGTAACATTGATTTGGGAGCTCATCGTTATCAGCAGGAGACAACCACCTTCCGTGGCAATCTTCCTAAGGTGAATTTGCCTTGGGATTTCGGCGTCTCAAAACCCCTGACGACACAAATTTCTTCCTGCTAGCCATCTGGTTTTACAAAATCCCAGAGCAGACATCTGGTTTTAAAATCTTAAGTAGATGAATAAAAATTTTGAGAAAGCCTTTCATTTGTCTATCATTATAGGTCATCCATATCATCTATGTAATATGATTAATCTTAACGACATCTAGATTAATTTTAATGACAAAGATCGATTGAAATAAATTACATAATTTAGAGGACAAATTAAAATAATTAAAAATTTAAGATGTAGTTTAAAATAAATGTGATAGTTTATGAGTTATTTATGAAATTGATCCATATCATTTTGTTTAGATCTAATAGCCTATCTTATAATTTATATTTTAATTTTTTAACAATAATAATTTGTTTTGTTTAAATCTAATTTGTTAACCACTATAAATATTTTAAAACCAAAAAAATTCTTTCTTCTTCTAAGTTTTCAATCTTTTCATTCATAGACCTTTATTCCCCTAATTCTTTCTATTATATTAATGAACTAGTTATTGTCTGTGTCTGAATGCACAGAATAATAAAAAATGGTAAACAATAAACATATTTGTATTTATATCCAAAATCAAATCACAAACATAGAGAAGAGATAAATAAATTTAAGCATTGGTTGAATTGGTGGGTGACAGTGATGATGGTAAGAAATAGTAATAGTTGTGGTGGGTGACAATAACTATGGTGCAGTGACGGCGGTAGCGACGACGATGGCGATGGCGGCGACGATGGTGGTGATAATAGTGGTGGAGTTGGTGAGGACAACGACAGCGGTGGTTGTGGTGGCGACGGCGACAGTGATGGTGGTGGTGGTGGTGACAGTAGTAGTGGCGGTGGCGGTGGTAGTGGCGACGGTGGTGGTGACAGTAGTAGAGGTAGTGGCGATGGTGGTGGTAGAGATAGTAGTGAGACGGTTTTAAACACTATTTTTTTTTAAAGTACTTATGAAAAATAATTCGTAGATGTAATTTTAAAAAGTCACTTCAAACACACCCTTAAAGTCTAGTTTTTCTATTAAATTTAGAGTGTTAATATTAATCGTTAAATTAACTTTAAAAAAAAATTTAAAGCATTCTTAACCGCAAATAAAAAAAGTCATTTTGTTTATCTTTTGAGATTTGAATTATAAGCTACTTTATTATATAGATAATCTATAAATAATTTGTAAATTTAGATCGATTAGTTGTTCACAAATAGCCACGATAAACAGTTTAGCCACTCAAGTTTTAAACACTCTAAAAAAATATTTTAATGCTCTGTTTAGTATGATAGAAAAATAAAAAGATGAAAAGTTAGAATAATAAAAAATTTGAGCGATAAATAAAATATCATATTTGGTAAGAAATGAAAATAGAAAAGATGAAAAAATAGATAGATTAACTTTTCTTCCAACTCACCAAAATTAATCCCTCTAAAATTAGAAGAAAAATTAATTATTTGTGTTGAGATGTACCTTATTTGTTTATATATTTTTTTATATATACATATATTATGTATTCATAAATTTTATATAAAAATACAATGATAAAATATGTATATATATATATATATATATATATATATATATATATATATATATATATATATATATATATATATATATTTTTTAAAAAAAAATTTAAAAATAAAAATAAAATTTTAAAAAAAGTTTCAAATCTTAGTTTGCGGTGAAAATTTTTGACTCAACACGATGACACGACTCGAACTCGATACAAATTTTATGACACAAATTTGATTGACACGAACTTAAAAATGACTCGACACGCGAATAAGAAATATAAACAGTTCATATTCAGTTCAACCCTTTAAACTCAAAATTGAGATCATCAATCCGTTCACTTAAAAATAAAATTTTTTTCTATTTTTTCGTTTGTATGGTAACACGAAATTAATACAAAACTAACATATTTAACATGAATTCAATTAAGTGAAAAAAGAATATTAACAATAAATCTTTTATTCAAAGTGTATGTGAGTCAATACGAATATGAACACAAACACGAAAACGAACACAACACGAAAATAAACAGATCAACTTGACCCGTCACAATCAGTATTTTTTTTTTTGGACACGATACAATTAGTTAAATGAGATGAGTTAGACTTGACTAATGTTCGATACAAACCCGTAATAACTCAATACAAACCTGACACAACATAATTCGATTGTCACTCTTAATCTTAGCTAGCACAAAAAAAAATTTTAAATTAATCATTTTTATTTTTCATTCATCCTATTAAACATAAATGAAGAAAAATATATTATTCCTATTTTCTTTTTCTGAAAGATAGAAAATGTATCCCTCATATTTTTCATTATTTCTACCGAATGGAGCATAAGTTGGTTCATCCTAGTTTAAGATAGTGTAAAGTTGGGCTTGACTATGGTATGAAGAAAAATTTTGGTATTGTACCACTTAGTATTTTTTATATATTTATATTACTTTTGAAGTGATGTTTATCAATTTTTACGGTGCACGCAGCTCAATTATGTTTTGCGACAATTTAGTCTCTAAATTATATAATCTTATTTAATTGGAGTAGAATATAGTTCAATGGGAAATGTACCTGTATTTAGAATTTATAAATGTTAGCAGAAGACTTTGACACATTCAAAGTAAACCCTTCCAACTGACCAACATATCACCACATCACCTCAAAACCCAGAGAATTTGGTGATTGGAGCAATGAAATAAATACAAGTGTCGTAGAATAGTCAACAAGTCATAGATATCTAAATAAAATATTGGAGATTAACATGTACAACGACAAGGTTTGATGAGAAACTTCCTTTACTTTATACAAGAAAAGTCGTAATACGCTTTTAGTTGAAAAGTAAAACCTGCCAAATTAACCAACCAATTTCGAGCTCTATTTATTTTCCACCTTCAAGCACAGATTGACCATCAATGGCTTCTTCATCTCTTTCCCATCTTCGCTCTCTTCTGCTGCTGCTTCTTCTTCTTCTTCATGTCCTTCCAGCAGTGTTAGCAATCAGTACATCTGATTGTAACATTACACTGGGCTCATCTCTATCAGCAGGAGACAACAATCCTCTTGGGCAATCTCCATCAGGTGAATTTGCCTTTGGATTTCTTCGTCTTGGAGGACCACAAGCTGATGAAGATCTCTTCCTTCTAGCCATCTGGTTGGCTAAAATACCTGAGCTGACTGTAGTTTGGTCGAGGAATGAAAATCCAGTGCCCCGAAAATCAAAAATCACGCTAACCAATGGTGGGGAGCTTATACTGTATGATAGCAAAAACACAGAGCTTTGGAAGGCTTCTTCAAGTTCAACCAATAATAACAAACCCACTTGTGCTGCTATGCTTGACTCAGGTATGTATATGTAGATGTACAATTAAGTATAAATCATTAAAAAAAAAAAATGTATGATTTTATATGTTGTGTGGATGTGCATTTTAGAATCAAACCATGTTGTATAAGGCTCTATTTAGTAATGTAATCAGAACTAGATCAGTAATTTAATCTTTGAGTTAACCGGTTGAATCCGTCATATAATAAAAAATAAAAAATATATATATAAATTATAAAACATAATATTTTAACTAAAACATATGAAACATAATAATATATAATTGCCCAAATAAAATTACTTTAAATGCATTTTCTAAGGAATTCAAACATGCAAAAACAAAAGAGAGTGAGAGAATCATCTTTGTTTGTGTGTGAGAGAGAGAGAGAAAAAAAAGGGGGGGGGGGGGGTTTACAATTACAGGCACTCAGGCAACAACAAAGGAGAAGCGAGGAGGAGACTCAAAAGTTAGATTGCTAAGTGAGAGAAGACTCAGTCAGATCGACTGCTTGATCTAGAACAGAGGAGGAGCTGGTCTAGTCGCCTGAGTTTCGTTGTTAGTCGTCGTCTGGGAGTGAAGATTGAAGGAAGAAGCTGGAATGAAATTCCAGGTTTAGGGCAAAATTGCCAAAAAAAGAGGATTTTTGTTTAATATTATTTAAAATCCAATCGATCGATTTATCGGTTTGATAAAAAAGTCGACCAGTTTAGAGGTTTTTTTCCGGTTCAACTGCTTGTACGGTTCAATTCAAGAATCGGACTAGCTTAGATTCCAGTTCACAATTGGACCGGTCTGATCCGGTTCTAATAACACTGTTCTTTAGTTTGCGTCTAAAAAAATAGTATTAAAAAATTAATTTTAGAAAAAATTTTAGGAAAGTATGTTTTGATATTTTTTTTTGTCACAAAATTTATTTAGTTATAAAATTTGAAAAATAATTCTACGAAATAGAAAAACAGTAAAATTTGTTTAAACAGTAGCTTATAAATTAATGAAAACAGAAAAGTGGTGGTGGATGGGGTGGTGAAAGTACGGCAGTGCAGTGGAAGTGTGGTGTTTGCTAAATTTAAAAAACAAAAATAAAAAATGACTAGCCAAACAACTTTTCTCCCCGAAATTATTTCTAAAAACTTTTTTTTGAAATATAAATCAAACGTGACCTTTTATTTTTGATTTTCTATTTTTCATTCTCTTAGTTAAACTTCATCATGGTATCAAAGTAAGCCGACCAAACTTTGCTAGATCATACAAATATAGAAATGAGTTATGTGCAATCAAGCACGAATAATGAAATCTAGCCTTTCCATGTTCGGTGTGTTGTGAATATAGGTCTTAAAAACTAACCATAAGGAACTAGGGTGGCCCGGAACATGCCCACCATCATTTCTTAACAATATTGATATAAATATGCTTTTTTAATATTCTATATTATGCCTACGTATGTGTACCATATATTTTATTATTATAACAATTATTATAGACCCTTATCTATATTACCAATGCACTTCGTGCGTTGCACATGAATATTTTTTATATAAAAAATATTAATAAAAAGTATTAGGTGCATGCATACCTATATCATTTCAAGTTTATCAAAATTATATTTGTATCGTTCGTATTATACTATCGAATTTAAAAAATATTGTTTGTTTCCAGCGATTCGTTACTATAACTATAAGAAAAATTTTAAATGAAAAAAAAAATACACAATGTTATTTTATATTTGAAATGAGTAATATTAGATTTATGAAGTATTTGAAAATTTTTTGAACATTTTATTAAAAATTATAGTGATGCATATATTTTTTAAGTGTAACGTAGTCAACAAAAAAATTTCAGAGATACTAATAATTATACAAAATGAATAGAAAATTAAAAGAGATTAGGGGTAGTTTGAAGATTTAAACACATAAATATATGAGGGTAATTTAGATATTTAATTACAGAAAAATAGTGTAGTATTTAAAATTTTTTATATGAGTAAAATAGCGAATTAAAAGTTTTTTATGATAAGGTACTTTTATCAATATTATAAATAAATGAAAACACACACACACATATAGATATATATAAAGATATGATTATAATTTAGATATTTAACTATAAAAAGATAGTGTAGTATTTAAAATTCTTTATAAGGGTAAAAAAGTGAATCAAAATTTTTTCACCAATATATATATCTATATTATAAAATAGCTTACAATTCAAATCTTAATATATAAACAAAATAACTTTTGCTATTCGCGGTTAAGATCGTTTTAAATTTTATTGTAAAGTTAATCTAACGGATACCATTAACACCCTAATTTAATAGAAAAAATAGGTCCTTAAGGGTGTGTTTGGAGTGACTTTTTAAAATAACTTCTACAAATTATTTCTCATAAGCATTTTAAAAAAAATTCGTGTTTGAAACCGCCTCACTATTACCTCTACCACTACCACTACCACCACTGCCACTGTCACTGCCCATCGCCACTGTCGTCATTGTCGTCGCCACCACCATCGCCATCATCACCATCGCCACCGCCCCCATCATCGCCGTCGTCGTCGCCAGCGCCGCCGCCAGCGTCGCCGCCGCCTCCACTACGGTCATTGTCACTCAGCACAATCGTCACTTTCTCCTACCATCACTACTGTTACCCACCACCTCTTACCCCCACTACAATCGATACTTAAATTCATTTATCTCTCATCTATATTTGTAATTTGATTTTAGATATGAATACAAATATATTTATTATTTACCATTTTTTATTTCTCTGTGCCTTCAGTATATATATATTAACTTTTTGGCACAATTCGGATGAGTCGGGGCAATGAACATATTGGTTGGTTATAGTGCTCACCCAAGAGCGAAATGCTGGCTTAGTTACTGACTATCTATCTTCTATTTTCTCTTTCAATCCATTCTTATATCAAATTTATGGCAGGAAACTATGTGCAGTTTTGTGTGTGATGGATGTAGGTCTTTCACTCATTCATTGTCTTGTTTATATAATATTTATGGCAGGCAACTTTGTGCTTATAAACGAGGATTCTACTCCAGCGTGGGAGAGCTTCAATGAGCCTACTGACACAATCTTGCCAGGCCAGACATTAAAAATAGACAACCCCCTCAAATCTCGCCAATCAGACACAAATTACACCAACGGGCGGTTCCAGCTCCATATGCAGGGTGATGGCAATCTTGTGCTTTACACTGTCTCTCTCCCAACAGAAGTCATCTATGGTGCTTATTGGGCTACTGGATATGTGAAACCCGTATCTGAATTCCAATTGATCTTTAATCAGGATGGATACATTTATATTGAACAACGGAATCAAAATGTATTCAATCTCACACAAAAAGGTGGGGGTTCGAGCCGTGATAATTATCTGATAGCCAGGATTGATTATGATGGTGCATTTAGACTATATAAGCATCCAAGAAATAGCTACACCACGGGCTTTGGAAGCTGCAGTTCATCCTGGTCTGTCATTGAAACGTTTCCACAAGACGTGTGCATGATCACGGGAACTCTAGGCAGTGGGGTTTGTGGATTCAATAGTTATTGTGTCAGTAATAATGGGAGGACAAATTGTTCGTGCCCTGAAGGGTACTCTTTCGTGGATCCATTTAACCTTCTGATGGGCTGCAAACCAAATTTTCAACTGCCTAGCTGTCAAAAAGATGGATGGGAAACAAAGTTTGATCGTATAGAATTCAAAGAATTGAATAACACAGATTGGCCCTTGGCAGATTATGAACTTCAGACCGGGGTAGAAGTTGATAAGGAGACATGTAAACGGTATTGCCTCATTGATTGTTTCTGTGCAGCTGTGATCCATAATGGGAATAATTGTTGGAAGAAAAAATATCCCCTTTCCAATGGAAGACAATCTTCAGGTGTTAATAGAACTGCTCTGATCAAGGTACCCATAGGAGATGCAAATCAATGGCAATATAAAAAAGACAAGTCCACATTGATCCTTGTCGGGTCACTCCTACTTGGCAGCTCTGTATTTCTTAATTTCCTTCTGTTGTTAGCTGTATCAGTGGCGGTTTTCATCTCGTATCATAAGAAAATGCAGGATTTGCAGTCTGGTATGAACACGTTTGGGATGAATGTAAGAAGGTACACATACAAAGAGCTTGAAGGGGCAACTGGTGGGTTCAACTCCAAGCAACAACTGGGGAAAGGTGGTTTTGGAACGGTTTACAAAGGTGTTTTGCCATCAGATCCAACGAGGTTTGTAGCTGTGAAGAAATTGGATAAGATAGCACAAGAAGGCGAGAAGGAATTCAGAACAGAAGTAAATGTAATTGGTAAAACTCACCACAAGAATTTAGTCCGTTTGCTTGGTTACTGCGATGAGGGGGAGAACCGTCTCTTAGTATACGAGTACATGAACAATGGATCCTTAGCAAGCCTTCTGTTTGGGATCTCCAGGCCAGATTGGAACCACAGAGTTCAAATTGCATTCGGAGTTGCAAGAGGGCTAATGTACTTACACGAAGAGTGCAGCACACAGATCATCCATTGTGATATAAAGCCTCAGAACATACTCTTAGATGACAACTTTACTCCTAGAATTTCAGATTTTGGACTAGCAAAGCTCTTGTTGGTTGAGCAAAGTCGAGCTGCACGGACGGCCATAAGAGGGACAATCGGTTACTTTGCACCCGAATGGTTTACAAAAGTGTCTATCACAGTTAAAGTTGATGTTTATAGTTTCGGGGCAATGTTACTAGAGATCATTTGTTGCAAGTCAAGCGTTCAATTTGCAATGGGGCAAGAAGAGGAAGCACTAGTAGATTGGGCCTATGATTGCTACTACAAAAAGAAGCTCGATAAGTTGGTTGAAAACGATGAAGAAGCAAGGAATGACATGAAGAGGCTAGAGAGGCTGGTGACGGTGGCAATTTGGTGCATTCAAGAGGATCCTTCACTAAGGCCCTCAATGAGAAAGGTTACACAAATGCTTGAGGGAGTTGTTGAAGTTTCTATTCCTCCACGTCCCTCTGGTTTTAGTTCTTCTTGAACTATTAGCCTTTCATTTTATCAGACCATTTGTGTAAACATAGGCAACTTTTATGGTTCCCCATTTAAGAATGGATTCTTGAAAGCTTTTCTTTTATTTATACATGTAAGTTTTATTGAAGAAATCCTTTGTGAATTTTCAAATAATGTCAGAAGAGTTGTGTGTGTGTGTGTGTGTGTGACTATCGATTTTTCCTTTTCTTTTTCCTAATCAGGCAAATTAACTATTCAATGAAGCCATTAGCAGTTTGATTACAATCAAGATAGAAGTATATATCTGTAAGCTGTATTGTAGAATCTACTATCCAAACAAAATTCTAATGAATTGTGTGCGTGTGTAACCATCTGTTATTTTTTGAACTATGGTTACAATCAAGCCAAAAGAATGATCTCTAATTCATGGGGTCGACAGCAAAGGAAATTCATAGATGAGTACGGATCGATGGCTCAATAAGCAGCCTCATTGGAGGACCTATGCCTGTACTTAAACTATTCTACATCTTATTATAGCTTCATTGATTACCTCAATCTTTCTTTGAGGGACTCCTCCTGGAGCCTAAGGATCGTAAACAAGGTAACCGTTATAAGCAGAAGTATTGTGTATTGAGTATGACTTTGACAAAGTGTCCGTAAATGATTTCAAATAGTAGTGAAGTTTCACATATCGGAGACAAACTCTTTGGGAAATTTTACATCCAGACCCTTAGAAAAGTTTGCCACTTACACTATTACGTACAGACCTTTTATATTTGGTACGCGCATGGGTTTCGGCCGTTAATGTCTGTTACTAACTGTTAATTAAATTACATTTAGATCCCCAAAATTTGAAGTATATAATACTTAGATTCTCAAGTTTAAAATATTACATTTAAATAAAAAATACTCCAATTAAATATAGAATATCAAATATTTTAAATTTTATAAACAAAATTCTTGTTTTAATATGTTATTTATTGAAATAAAATTTAATTTTTTCTTAAAAAATTATAATTAGTACTGTTAATACCAAAATTTGGATGACCTCCGTGTAAGTTTGTTGGACTTTGATCACCTGAAAAAGAAATCAGAAACAGGAGGGGAGCTCCAGAGATTGACTCTTCGATACCTAAGTCAATAAATGACTCAAAAGTATGAACTATGTTTAGAAGTTAGAGATGACATATCTAGAGGATCTTGGATTAAATGAACTTTTCACCATGGGTCAATTTTTTCATTATTAAGTACGAACATATGAAATAAATTTAATTAACACATTTGTATGTTCTATTAAATCATCAATTGATATAAAATCCAAACAAAATCCCAATTTTTTTAAGAAAAGATAGTAATCAGTATAAATATATCAAATAACTCAATTCAACACTCATTTGCATACGATTATATTGTCCATTAGAATAAAACTAAAAACTCAAACAAGAAGTAGAACTATAATGAACACAATATCTTCTATCTTTAACAGTGGTAATTTAGTGATTTAATAGATTTCGTTAGTTACATAACTAATAAGAGATCTAAGTATAATATTCTAAACTTAATAGGTTTATGTGTTATACACCTATAAATTTTAGGAGGATCTGAGTGTAATTTATTACTAGATATATTAACTGAAATTGACGATAGGGTTTAAGTGTCACACGTGTACAAAATTTAGAGGGTTTGTATATAAAATTTCAAATATTATAGGATTTTAAGTGATTAAGTGATAAACTTAAAGAGTCAAAGTATAATTTCCCCAAACTATTTTTGTCCAGGACCGAGAGAAGTTTGCACTGAAATCTTTGGGTAAATCTGACAAAGACCCTGAACTATGACATTTATTTTAAATTGTCCCCTAAATTTATAATTATCTCAATTTATCCTCTAAATTATATAATTTTGACCAGTAATTTATTCTCTAAATTACATAATTTATTATAATCAATCCATTCTTGTACATAGAAAATGGACTCAATTTTTTTATTCATATTTGTAAGTCATCTGGTTTAATTCATCAGCCTGAATGATGAACAAAAAAAAATGAAAATAGATATTCAATCTATTTAACTAGCATTTATACTGTAAATTTGATTTTTAGTGAAATAAAAAACACATATATAATATAATTATAATCGTAGAATACGATCCTAATTAATATATATATATATATATTTGTCACATACAGTAAATGGCGACGGCAAAGTCTTATCAAGTTCTTTCTATTAATAAAAGGAACTAATACTCAAACAAGAGGGATGTCAACGATGGTGGATAGGAACCTACGGATTTAAGATTAAGTGATTCAACATTTCTATGATATTTTTAATTTAAGAGCATATATAAACTTATATTTTTTTTTGATGGTTTTAATTGTAATTACAATTCATTTGATAACTTTATTTGTTTTTTATGAAAACGTAAAACTATTAAATTATTTATGTATGAATCCAATTTATATAGTCTCATAACGAATTGTTTATGATTAACCAAATGATTGATAAAAATAATATCCAAATACCAAATCTATCTATGTTTTTCGTTATTGTGGTCAGCGGTATTCGAATTTGCTTACGCATACTTTGATTAATTTTTTCTCTGGTTCGGTCAAGTGCAGGTTATCTACGTGCGAAATTAGAGAATTCATGAGAGATAAATTCATTAAGGGAGTTACCAAGTTTCGACTGCAGAACGTCTACATTTATAACTTGTCTTTATCCACTAGATTACCCTTTGGAGTTGAATTTGCCTTCTGCATAACCGCAATTAGTTAATTTTTAATTTTCAGTAACCCAATTTAAAATCATAAGTGGATAAATAAAAATTTTGAGAAAGTCTTTCATTTGTCTATCATTATAGATCATCCATATTATCTATGCAATATGATTAATCTTAATGAAATCTTTCTTATTTATCAATTAATCTTAACGACAGAAATCGAATGAAATAAATTACATAATTTAGAGGATATATTAAAATAATTAAAATTTTAAGAAGTAATTTAAAACAAATGTGATAGTTCATGAGTTATTTATGAACTTTATCCATATCATTTTGTTTGGATCCAATAGTTTATCTTATAATTTATATTTTAATTTTTTAACTACAATAATTTTTTTTTGTTTAAATCTAATTTGTTAACCACTATAAATATTTTAAAACCAAAAAAGTTCTTTCTTCTTCTAAGTTTTCAATCTTTTCATTTGTAGACCCTTATTCCCCTAATTATTTCCATTATATTAATGAATAATCTATAAATAATTCATAAATCTATATTGATTAGTTGTTCTCAAAAAACCACAATGAACGGTTTAGTCACTCAAGTTTTAAACACCCTAAAAAAGGTACTTTAAGTCGGTTCATCCTAGTTCAAGATAGTGTAAAGTTGGACTTGACTATGGTATCAACAAAACTTTTGGTATTGTACCACTTACTATTTTTTGTACATTTATACTAATTTTAAGGTGATGTTTATCAATTTTTGCGGTGCACTCACCTGAATTATGTTTTGTGACAATTTAGTCACTAAATTATGTAATCTAATTTAATAGGGTCTTTCCGTCCAAATGCGCCATTAACTTTAATGAAAATTTTTACTTGTGCATCACGTGAGTCTGAGATTAGAACATAGTTGAATGACAAAAGGATGTTACCAGCATTTAGAAATTTATAAATGTTACCAGAAGGCTTTGACACATTCAAAGTAAATCCTTCCAAGTGACCAACATATCACCTCATCAGAATAATCAACAAGTCATAGATGAAGATGAACCAGATGGTCAAGTAATTGTCATTGTGATTGCTATGGTTATTATGATTATTCAATGACCCAAAAATCCCTTAACGAAAAATTATTTTAATCACGTGTTTTTTAAATTCAGATATAAGAAGTCACTCGTTTATCACCTCCATCGGCCTAATTTGGATTTCATGCATGTGAAAATGTAATTCAAGTGTTCCTCTTTGCTCAAGCACAGAACCACATGCATCCATTAAACTTGGGCCTCTAGTTTGGGGGAACTAGTCCAAGTTATTCTCTTTTCAAAACTACTGGGATAATAATAATAATAATAATAATAATAATAATAATAATAATAATAATAATAATAATAAGAAGAAGAAGAAGAAGAAGAAGAAGGGTCGATTGTATTGGAGGTTCACAAAATATGAGATTTACCTCATTTTGGCCCTTAATATTTTTTTTTATGGAAAAAGTCCCTAATATTTCAATTACATTATTTTAGTCCCTGAACTATTAAATACAGTTTTATGTGGTCCCTCAAACAGACATCGTTCATATTATTAACGAATTTGATTATAAACTTATAACGTAATATTTAAATATGACCAAAAAAATAATTTAGATAACTTCTGATCAAATTTTTACCCAAATTTTGGTCAAAGAGTTACTCAAATTACACAGTTTTGATCATGAGTTGTTCAAATATCAGTCAAGAGCTACCTATATTATATATTTTTTTTATCAAGAGCTACCCAAATTAGTTTTTGTCCATATTTAGATATCACGTGACAAATTTATGATAAAAAAATCGTTAGCAATTTCGATATTGTGTGCTTAAAAGACCACATAAAAATATATTTAATAATTTAAGAACTAAAATAATGCAATTAAAATAATAGATATTGTCCCATAAGGTTTTTATCCCTTGTAAAGTAGGTGTAGGATCCATTTACCCAATAAACTGTTTATCACTGGAAAGTAGCCATTAGTTCCTTGACTATCGAGTAGTATTCCAATCTTTCACATCCTTCTGTTTTTGGTATGAGAGTCACTTGGTATAATGGTTAGCTTTTTTATATTACAAACAATACAATGTTTAATGTCTTTGCAGCTACCTAATTCTCACAGTAAACTGACAAGAAGGATGTGAAAATGCACACTAAAACATGGTTCATAGAAGGGGAAAAAAAAGTATTTTTCTCCAACTGAATATAAAAAAGCCAGATAATTAAATAGTACGAACTTCAACAAGTTTCTGCCACTGAAATTAGTCTCGCAACAATCTTGTCTTTTTCATTACTAAACAGAACTTCTTAAAGCTTCAGATTTTCAAGGTCATAGACACATCCTCTCTCTCTCTCTCTCTCTGTGCACGTGATAAAAGGCTGCATCGATATGATCCTATCCAAACCATGGCAGTCTCGTGCACTGGATCGTGCTTTAGATTTTCAAGGTATCGATAAATGGAATGGCATCACGCTTCCAATCGAAAAATCTCTGGATGTAGTCATCCATTGTGAGGGTCATGTATAGAGCTGGGGTTCCTGGCTTGATCAGCTCTTTGGCTGGGCCAATATGGACATTGGTGCTGGGGTAGCAGAAAGTTGCTACTGACAATCGCTCCTTCGAACTGTGTACCACTGCTCTGTGTAATGGCGCTTGGTATATCCCATTGCTCATTATCTATATGATTTCAGTAACAAGTGTCTCAACCAAACAGCTCTGCACTCCAAATCTGGGTGTTCATGTCTGGGGATGTAAATGAATCCAGCTGTAGATAAATAGTTGGGTGACGCTATTCCCGCTACTTAAATTTCATTTTTCATCTCATTTAATTCTTTTATTTAAAACTATTAATTTCACTTCATCTATACTCACCCAATTAATTATTAAGTTCACCCTATTTTTCTCATCTAATTAAACTATTGAATATATATTTTAAAAAAATTGAAACAAAATTTCAATGTTCAAAGGTGATCTAGAATATTTTAAGGTGTTTTAAAATACATTGCGTATTTTCATCAATGTCTTCAGAATATTTTGAGGTGTTTAACGATAATTTTTTATATTTCAACTAATATTTTTAAAATAAATTATTCATTTTTATTTTGTTTCTGTAATATTTATGTACAGGAATAACACACCAGATTTTTTTTTTATTATTGCCTATATTACTGGTTGAAATAATATTGAATGAATTTAGTTTTTAATTAGTGAATATAGACGGATTGAATTTAGTAATTAATTGAGTAGGTATAAATTGGGTAAACTTAGTAGTTTGAAGTAAGATAATTAAATAGGTTGAAAAAAGAGATTTAAGAGTTAGAAATAGCCCCACCCTAAATAATTCAGAATCGAATGATCGATTCATCGTCTATACCAAGACTAGCATGGATAACAAATTGACCAATCAAACTTAAACAAGATGTTTGAAGCCCGTCATTGTTGGTTCGTTCAGTTTGATTCATTTGCACTCCAATTCAAAATACAACAAATTTATTTTTTAGCGACGAACTAACTCATTACAAAAGGTAACAATTAGGTCGCTAACAAAGCCTTTTGGCAACAACTAAAAATAATTGTGGCCAAAAACATCATAAAAATATTTTTCATGAGAAATTTTTGCAAAATCTCAATTTTGACAACTAATTTTATTATTCATTACCAAAACTCGTCATTGAAAACAAATTTCGTATGGTGTTATATCCTTCAAAAGTTAGGTATATAATATAGAAGAAAAATGTTATTTGTATCTAACTTGGGAATCAAATCTACTTCTATTAATCTAATAGTTGTATTGAATTACGTCCTCAAATTAGATCTTTATAAAATTGCTCTATGTAAAACGTGTGTGTGATTAATAGTAAAGTTTTAATGGAATAGCTTCAACTTTTCTGGTTATAAAGAATAGAATTGTAACAAAATTGAAGCCATTTGAAGGTAATGCTTAGCTATAAAAAAGAAGTATCAATTTATCGACCCATGCTAATACGTAGGAACCTAACATGGGATTAGCGGGTTAAAATTAACTTGTCCTCTATGCCCTTTGAAAATTCATGAACCACCAATGAGAAAATAAAAGGGTTAAATTAGTATCAAATAGGAAATAATACGATACCCTACAATTAATGGTTGGGGACTAGTGTTAGATCTTATACACTTCTATTTATGTGCGTTTGGTTATTGTTGTTTGATACTTGGCATACATCCCAATGGCACAACCGGAACACGACTCCATCGAGCCTTAGATAGGTAAGCCCTGGATTAGAGCAATGTTGTTTTGATCTAACTCGTTGATTTAATTTATTATAATTTTTAAATTGATTGTGAACTCTGTCAAATATTAAAATTTAATATTATTTTAAATAACTATAATGAAACTCAGATGTCAAACGAATTTTGGTAATTTCTTAGACGCAGAACACAAGAAATTTATTCTTAGTGCATACTCTCTAATTCAGGCGTGAATAGTCTATTCTGATAAAATTTAAAAAAAACGATTAATCGAAATACGTATAAATCAACTCTGACACCAAATTAAAAGAGTGTACCTTCATAATAGTGCCAATGTCGACAGCAAGGGCATCAGCTATTGGTTTGACAGAAACCCAACGGCCATCCTTCAAGACCTGTAATCCCGGTGTGTCGCCGCAGTCGAGCAAGAGGGTGATCCTGCTTATGTCGACATGTGAAGCGATGCCGAGAACTCGTTCCGATTCCGGACATGGAGGGTAACAGTTCAATCTCAGGTCATATCCCCCATCTTGGAAAGCCTTGGACAGTTCTTCTGCTTTAAGGCCAAGCATCATGGATATGAAGCCTGCTATGGAAACTGTAGTATCTCTCATGTTCTCTGAGTATGTGTGGATGGTTTCCCTGAGACAGATAAATTAGGAACTATTTACATTTTGAAACAAAATTGTCAAATTACGATATTTTTTGGACTTTTTTATTAAATTATCATACTTTTTAAAAAAACAGAATCGATAACCCTACTTTGAATCTTTGGTCGGACAAGGTAATTCGGTGTTTCAATCGGATGCAAAAGAAGGGTGTTAAACCCAATAAATTCACTCTTAAAATTGGGGTTGGTCTCAGTTTTTAAAAAGTATCGTAATTTAATAAATAAATTTAAAAATATTGTAATTTGATAATTTATTTTAAAATTGACATAGATTGATAAATAATTCGATAAATCAGTTAGTGATTGGACATGATGAAAAAAGACATGGTGTTGTTATAGATAAAAGTTCATAAAGATTGAGTAGTGGCAATAGCAAATTAGTGTGGTAATCCGAATGGGTTACTTAGTGGTCGAAGAAGGGACGAGAGGTGAATCTCAACGTCTGAAGTTTGAATTCTTTTTGGCTTAAAGTCTGGATTTTACCAACATGTGCAGTTTGCGTTGCTGCATACTATACTTTGCCCCATTAAATTAAAGGTTAATAATATTTTTAGTCCCTAAAGTATGTTCGTTGTGTCAGTTTGATCTTTATTGTATTAATTTTATTAATTTGGTTCTTAAAATTTCAATTCGTATCACTTTGATTTCTAATTAGATAATTCGTTAAATTTTTTTTACGGAAATGATCACCTGTCATTCTTTTAGACTGTATCACATGATCAAAATGTGATAATTGAATATTTAAAGGATTAAATTGCTAAAATTGATATTTTAATAACTAAACTGACAAAATGTGCATAAGTTAAAAGACCAAAAATACTATTAATCCTTAAATTAATCATCTCATACAACATGCATTACAAATGAAATGCCAACGGACAAAAAATGAGGCACAAGGTGGGACACATTGCTATTGGTTAACGTATGGGACGTAATTTTGGTCCCATCAACCTTTTTAAATGGGATCTACTGATCTAATAATCTCCTTTCATTTTGGAATGTAAATTTGAGTTACAAATTTGAGTTACATAGTATTGCTCTAAAAAAAATGTAGGTTTTAACGTGAGACTTTAACCTGTGAAGGAGTAAAATGAAAATTTTAAATCATCGGAACAAAGTTTGAGGGAGGGGGAGGGGGGAGAGAGAATAAGTTTAAAAAGCAGAAAATAGAAGGTCCTTGAAATTAATTTACCTGAACTTGTGAGGTTGTAGTTCTGGCCAAAATTCTAATTTCCTATTCTCAGTGGGAAGAGCCTTAAGGAAAATCATGTCATTCCATTCTAGCTTCTGATCTTCAGAGACAACAAATGCTTGACCATAACCTTCAAGACTTCCTGGCTTCTGCGCATATCACTTCTTCTCTTGTTGCGAAAGTTCAAAGAACTATTGAGTTTTTCTCTTCATGTTTACTAGAAATTCATCAGATATTCCATGGTTTATTATCTGCAAAATCAAGGAAAATCAGAGTATATATAAAGTATGAAATGTTTATCGGGACGGTTATATTAAACAATCATCTATTATAAAAGTTTAAGCTTTTAAAGAGAGTGTAATTTTAGTATTTATATTTTAACATGTCCCATCACGTGTAAGTTAGGTTTTAGACCTAACACGTGAATTTTTTTTTAACAATTAGAGTAACAGTGAAATTTTAAGACAATACTTTATGTTCTGATATCATATTAAGTAAAATAAAAAACACAATCTAATGAGAAGAAGAGGGATGTGTATCAATGGTTGCCTTCTTTAATTACTAAAAAAAACCTTGTATTAGAGCTTGTCCCATATCGATTTACTTCCGAATTTGATGCATGATCGACTTTATATATCCATTAGCAAGTGATTTTAAATTGAATGCTTTAACATGGTATCACATCTAAGCTACCAATATTTTTTAAGCAAGACTTTTTATTCCATTGTAATTGAATAGTCAAGTATGTACAAAAATATTCCCATTTGGGGGTAGTTTTTGTTTTCTTCTTCTTTTTTTTTTGGGGGGGAGAGGGGGGGGGGGGGGGGGGGGGGAATTGTGGAAATTTAAAAACCCAAGTGTAATTCAATTATTATTCTTCAAATCTTAACTCGAGTTTCGGTGTTTTTTTTTATATCTATTTCTACATTTATTAAGATTCAAAAATATTTTTGAATCTTTTGAGGGCATCTAAGGAAGATTGTGTAGATTATAAGACACATAAAAAAGTAGTTCACCGCATAAAAGTCTCTCTTCAATATAACTAGTCTTATCCTCCTTGCGATTAAACTGTTTATGTGTTTTGAACTCGTGAAATTAAGGTCGCATTTATAATCTGCTCTCAAGAAAAATTAAAAAAAAGAAAGAAAAAAAAAGAGAGAAAAGTCTGCATGTTGTTGAGGTACCTGAAATATCCCCCAGTCTTTGCATGCAACATGAAGCTTCTGAAGCTCCATTTCTCTGTCCTTTGGATTGACAAGCTTTGCCATGTCGATCAAGGGTATGCAAACGGAAGGATCAGAGACCGGAGCAATAGGGGCGTCCTTCTCATCTCTTATGTATCGAGTTGGCACGGTCGCCGGAAGTTGGATCACGAGCTCTTTTACGCTCGGGACCGTGAGAGACCATTCCAGATTTTCTGGCACCACAGCCATTCTCAGAAGGTTACAGGGTTCACGGAAGAAAGATTGATACTAGATATTTATATAGACACCTATGTAAGTCAGTGATGAGTGGTTGTGTATAGTTTTAAAGTCTTTGTCTAGCATGTTCGAACAGACAGCGAGAACAAAGACTAGACCAGGGGGTCATGGCCCCTCACTTTTTGAAAATATGAAGCTGCTCTCTTTTCTCGTTTTTCTAATCTTCCCCTTTAACGCGGGGCGACGGTGGCAGGTGGAGGAGGAAGTCTTACTCATACATGTATAAGTCAATGATCAGATGCTATGTATGATTGAGATCTTTCTATGCATGTTCCTTCCCCTTAATAAATGAAATTATTTAAAAGTTATTGACTTATGAACACACCTATGTATATGATTTCAAAATTATATTTGTTAGGTAGTTGATACTTTCTCTGATGACCATTTTCTAAGAAAATTGTAAGATTAGTAAATGATTTTTATGTTCGTCAATGACACTAATACCCATCAAATTTTTTTATTTTTTATTTATCATTTTTATCACAATAATTACGAGTTTTTTTTTTTTTTAAACTCATGGCTAAAAGCCTAAAATAGAAAACTTTTATCGTACAAAAATCATTTTAATGGTATCTCCATCACCTGGAAAATCTTCCATGAAGAATAAGTTATAAATTCGAATATCTCATGAAGCGTGGCCCCTTGAGGTCACCACTCATAAATTTACTCTCTTGTGTGGAGAAACAATTTTGCACAATCTAGCATTAATCCGATACGCGAGCAAGATAATAGAGCCGTGGTGATCTATCGGGACAAATATAAAAAAAACAAAAAAGATTCATCCAGCTAGTACCTTTAAAAAGGAGACGGCAAAGCACTATGGACAACCAAGATCCATGAGAGGCACAAATATTATATGATAGCAACTAAGATCCAGACAACCAACTAAGATCCCTGGAGAATTGCATCAGAAAGTCTCCCAACAAAGTTTTTTTTTTTTTTCTGTAAGTCCCGAATCTATTTAGATATTTTAAATCGGATATGGAAATATACCGAACAAAGTTACTCCTAGCATAAAGAATGCAAATGACAGAAACTTTTATTGCCCCATTTGTCTTCGCAACATAGAAACTGAAGTTCATATGTTCTTTCAATGCCCGCCAGCGAGGCTGATTCGGTTCAGCCAATGGGGATTCCATATAGACCACTAGTAGGCCTGTCGATAAATCAAATCTGAGTTCATTTGAATCTAAATCTGATTAAAATATTTGTTATCGAATTCGATTCATTTATCTGATGAATAGAAAATATTAATCTATATTTGAATCCGTTTATAATCGAACGTCAAATCCGATTACCTGATCCGGTCCATAATGATATTCCACCAAAATTTCAACAAGTTACATTTTTTAGATCAAATACAAATAATCAATATACATATATGTATTGTTTAACCAAATCAAATTTATATATATATATTTGGATCGAATTTGGATAACGGATGAAAAATATTGATTCATATTCAACTAAATAGATCGAAATTCCGACCGAATTCCATCTGAAATCTGATATATTAAAAGACCTAACCATCATAGTCAATTGAACATGCAGGATTGGATATAGAGCCTCTTTCACCCGACTCCAATATTTGGCCCAAACACTTCTCAGCTACTACTGTTCACAGCAATCCTTAGAAACTCACTCTGGACATGGAGAAACAAATGCCTCTTCCAAAATGAAAAACTAAACCCACAGATCATACTAAATGAAGTTTTTCAAGTTCATCAAGAGTTTTAGTTCAGCTTTCCACCAGAGTCCTTAAAAATGTTCTGTACCCCAAAATTTGTTGCCACTGTCGAGGAATGTAAGGAAACTTTGAGGTATAGTTTAAGTGGTAATAGTGATGAGTTGTAAATTCAAACGTCTTGAGTTTAAATTTTGATAATCTTTTGGGGTCAGGCTATAAGAGATAAAATCCTTAATAAATATTTTAATCTCGACATGGATAATCTACTTTTTACAGGACCAAAAAAAAAATTAATCGAAGTGTATATAAATTGACTCAATCACCTCTGACTGTTGAAAAAAAAAAAAAAAAAAACCGCCTGCCGATAAAAAAAGAGATTAAGCTCAATGGTAGATGCAGCCATTGGGCAAACAGGTTCCTATTCTGACAACAATAGTTAGGAAGATACTAAAGGCACTTCAAATTCTTCATCATGCGACACTTGTCTTGGGTCTCAAAGTTCTCCGGAGAGATCTCCTCCCGACATGTGTCCTTGGCTTACCTAATGCCCCAAGGTTCGTTTTCTAAACACATCATTTCGACTCTAAAACCCCAAAATATAGATGACAGATTGATGGTTATTGTTACTTGGAATTAGAATTGGTCAATAATCATTGAGTGCTTTCTTAAAATAGTCAGAATGGCATGAAGAACAGGTCAATAACCAATGATAATGGTACACGAGGCATAGAGTACAGAATTAGGGATCAATGGATAAAAATGCCCCTACCCGTGCGCAACCATCGCAAAGAGGCATTTAATGATCCCTCAAAATGATGAGACGTATTTATTGCTCAGAGAGTCTCAAAGGAAGAACATTAAGTGCTCGAGAGCCCCGAGCATTTATTGTTTAAGCTTCTTCCACACAAAATAGAAAGCGCTATGCTCGAAGACTGAGCACCGCTTACTGTCTTCCAAATAGGCCAATGAGAGACTTATTCACTAAGGGTCTACTTATCCGTAATGATTACCTCAATAGAAATATAAATAGGTCTTGAAAATTCAAAACAACGGTACGCAAATTTGACCCAAAGCAGTAAAACAAAAAATTCTCACCCCTCTCTCACGTATTGACTTGATCGTTGAAGGGGTCACGCCGGAAAACACTCTGTCACCCTTTTATCCTTTTTTTTTTTTAAGTGGCAGAGTTCATCTCGACAAGCTGGAATCGCACGGACTACTGAAAAAGTAATTCATCACCATTCCTTATTCCGTTTCTTGTCTCTGTTTGCCACGGATTGTTAACTTCCCAGGTAAAACTTGTGTTCACCAAGGGAGAGATATGTCCATTCATGTATTGTGCGAAAATCACCACACACACTAACTAGAAGTCAAAAACACACAGAATACAAAATTCAAGACTCGACTAATCAATGGTCAAACAAACTAAACATAACGAAGTAGAGAGAGATTAATTGTAATTGCAATAGCAATTGCGGGAATAGATTGACTTTATTTTATTTTGGCAATCCTCTAACTAAAATGGAAAACTCACTTTTCAATTTCCATAGCACGTCATGAGCACCGGGCTAAGGGTGGTTGAACAATTCAAGCGAACATATTTATTCTTTGTCTTTAACCAACTGGGGGAGTTCAGTTGGCCAGAGCTTCTGGCTTCCCAATGGGAGGTTGGAGGATTGATGTCTCTTGGGCGCGCAACAGTGTGGCTGCTTTGTAGAACAAAATCTTAGTTGTTTGGACGAATCTTATCTAAGTCTCTGGTGTAGGTCTTAAGTTCCTGGTGAAACGCAAGTTTTGATTTAAATTATGTATGAATTGAAAGATCGATTCATAACTCGAGTTTTACCCTTGGTTCTACTCAGAATTATGAGTCTGAGCGATATAAACACGCCTCTACTCAATAAGGATAGACCATAAAATTTCCCTATTTTTGAAAAAATAATAAAAAAGAAAAAACAATGCAAGCGAATTGCCCTTCATACTACCAAAAAAAATGAGATTCTTGCATGACTTAAGAAGGTTACGGTGAGAGTGAAGATCACTTCGGAACAAGTGGGCACGGAATGTAACCAAACAACCGAAAGTAAGCTAATCATAAATTCCTGGGAACTTCTCCCATATTGTTATCAATGTCTTTATGTGGCACGACCTGTCGACATCACACCACTGACCCATTGATTGCAGAGGCACTTGCAGCTAGACCGGCAGCTATGTGGGCTTACAATAAAGATTGGAACTATTCTGTCATTGAAAGTGACTGACTGGTGCTGCGATCGTATCTAACCACACTACACCATTCAACCAATTGTCCAAGACACCATTGTTTGGTAGGTGAGTTTGAATGGAATGTAAAGTTGAGTTTTGTGAAAATAGTCTAATATACTTTTTAAACTCATGTTTGATTCAAGATTTGATATTTAATATTCATAAGATAAATAAATTCTGACCGGTAATAAATAATTGATTAAAACCCACAAATAAAGGTTTGATGAAACCCATGGGAGTAAGTTTCAAACCCGAAAGATTAGATTTAAAGACAAAAAAACTATTTACCCCAAAAATCATTCTTATATTCACCTAATAATGAACATTTTAGTAAATTAAGTAATATGATTTAACACAAATCTAAGACTCCTACATGTATCTATATCACCTACCAAACATGGGATTGGATAGGATTTTTTTTTTTATAAATCCCATGTACAAATTCTTGGGGTTGGATTTGAAAAAATTCATAAATTCAATTCAAACCTCCCCCAAAAAAAAAAATAATAATAATATCCAAACAGGCACCAAGTATATTCTAAACAAGGATCAGGACTAGGGAATGAATCATGCTTAAAGGGACTCAAATTCAGCAGCACATGTGCTTGGTAGATGGGAATTACAGGCATAAACAAGTGGAACACTTTGAGTTTATTACTGTCTTGTACTACAGGTCTCTTTCTTCCATAGCAAAAAAAAAAATGTTGATTAGATTTAGTAACTTAATTAAGGAAAATAATTTGAATTGAAAATCAATTATGTTTACTTTGCTAGGCAACAAGGGTGTGACGAGGTAATACTAGAAGGAGATTCTACCAATGTGGTGAGCTAATATTCGAAGATGAGACCGAGATGAATCCGATGGGTTCTGTGCTGCTTCATATTAGAAATACTTTGCATAACTTCTACTTCTTTTCGATGTCTATAGTAAGAAAAACTGGCAATGGAGTAGCTCATGAATTTGCTAAAAATGCAAATTTTATTTGATAAGTCTGATGAATGGGAGGAGGAGGCACCTAATTTTGTTGTGCTCCTCCTTCTTTTGGCTATGGCTATTGATAAGACGTGGTTTTGACATTAAAATATAAATATCACTCTCCAAGTTTATTTGTTAGTTCAATTTTACTGGTCAATTTCATTTTTTAGTTCACTAAAAGTAAAGGTGTCACTGTCGCGTCATTTTTGGTCATATTATTTTTGTATCGGGTCATTTTTGATGCGAGTGTAGTTTGTGTTAATAAAAAATTATTTAATTTTATAACAACTCATGTAATACTATTAAAAATAATTATAAAATACTTATTTTCTATGTACAATATTCGTTAAATACTTATTGTATAACTACAATACCCGTTAATCGTATTATTCGTATCTAACATTAATTTGATCAATTTATTACTCTTTTTATTTTCTAGTTTTGTATCAAGTCGGGTTCGTGTTAATGAATAAAATTGACACCATTAACTAAAAGTGAAATGTGAAAATAGGAATTTCATTGTAATTGGACAATGAAATTGAAAATTCACCATAGAAAAAAAATGGTGATTCATTATGATTTACTTGAACCCCATTACTATTCCATCTCTCTCTCTCTCTCTATATATATATATATGTATCATAAAACCAATGGTGATAATTTACTATTTTATTTTTAAATTCTAAACATATAAAAACATATATCTTTGAATCTTAAGAGTCTTTAAGGAAAATCAAAACATAACTAAGGCTGCAAATGAAAAAACTTTGCTATAGAGCCCTTGTCTTCAACACATTCACAACTTGAGTTTAGATGATTTGAAGAAAAGAAAGAAGTGAAACTTTATATGGGCACACAATTTGGTCATCGGAGCTAAGTATATATTGACATCTTAAAAAACAAGGTCATGTTTGATCCGCGATCATTTGAATTTGTGTTCTCTTTCCCTTGTTCTTGTGTTATTTAATTTATTGGATCAATAGTTTTTGAATAAGGATTAGAGATGTCCTAATCCGTTCAACATCAAACAGAGAGAGGTAGAAAAATATTGAGAGATCTCAGGTTCAATATTTTTCATACCCTTAAGATCTAGTCACCTTTATTCATCAAGAGATGCATTCTAAAGTCGCTTGGACAGCTTGATGCATTCTAAAGTCGCTTGGACAGCTACTATCAACAATCGAGAAAATAATCGAGGCAAATTTAGACAACTTATAACTTTGAAAAAAAAAACACAAAACAGGGAGCAATAAAAGAAGGCGGAACTGAAACCAACTATTAATCCGAAACCCATAATTGCTCTATAAACCTTTTCACGTCCGCGTTCCCACTCCCCAGCTGAACTGATACTCCCTTCTCAATCTGAACTGAATCTCTTTCCTAAAATCACCCTTCAATGCGACTCTCCAAATCTCCACTCTTCTGTCCAGTGCCAAGACACACTCTCTCTCTATTGTTTTCTGTTTTCAGTATATGTATGCGGTATTGACTATTGATCTAAAGTCTGAGCAAGATTTTTGAGTTTCGGAGCTCTCCGTGAAGCCCTGGGTTTGGTTTCTCAGAATTCTTGAAGTTCTGGTGTGTGTACAAGCTGGCTATGGACTACGAACCATTTGATAGCAGTGGTAAGTTATTTCACTACACAAAGTTTTGATCTTTATAACAACTTATGGTGAATTAGGGTTTTTTAGAGAATTTTTAGTGAGTTTGGACTTAGATTTGTGTGAACACTTGTCAGCATTGTGGTTTCTTGTGCAATTCGGTTCAGTTACTGCTCAGAGTGAATCAATTAGGGTTTAGAGCTCTAGTTCTACTTTTTATTTTTCTTTTTTTATTGGTGTTTAAAGCTATAACTCTTGTTTCATTGGGTAGTTGTTACTTTCATCTTGTTCAGTGGATTGAGTAATGTAAATATAGATTTTGTTTCTCGCGTGGAATTTGTAGTTATGCTTATTGTTTGCCAGTGAAGAGCTCAGGCTTCAGAGAACCCAGAAGACACTTCCTTTCTATTTGATTTCCTTGATAGTTCTGGGTTGGAGAACAAAGAAGGGATGAGCTGCAGCAATAATCCGACTAGAAAAGTCAGAGGAAAAGTTGGGTTGATGGATATTGGATGGCAGTCACCCTGGCATAATTGCATAAGTAAAAAGAAATAGTTGATTAGGTTGTGTTTGAGAAGACTTGAATAATGGTGGGAGATTCAACTAAATTTAAATCAGGGAAACCTTATCTGCCTTATCCTGATTATTAATCATATGATATATAGGCAATGATTTTTTTAATGAAAGGACAAAAAGTCATGCCTTGTAAAGAGATTCTGATATAATACAATATCCAGATAGTTATCAACTTCCCACACTTTCGTTTCCTAAAATTTTTTACTAGCCTGGGTTCATTGTTATGGCTGCTAATGTTGTCAAAAGTTCAAAACGGATGTAGCATATATGAAAATGTAGGTCTAGAGTTTGAATGTTATTGTATGCCAAGGCGAGAAGGGTTTATACATGTTTGTGTATAATGAGTTATCTTAGCAATGCCATGAGGAAACAAATTTGAATATCCATTGAATCTATAGTAATACTGACGCCAAGAAGCTCCTAATCAGCAACAACACACTTGATTAGAGTTTTCAGTAAAGATATGACTTTCGTTGGACCAATTAGGTCAAAGTGAAAGACACTAAAATTAATAAAATATGAACCTGGAGGATACCTTCAACCACAGGGGCGGATCCAAAAATGTATTATTGTGGGGTCAAATTTTTTATAATAAGATAAAAAAATTTAAAGAATAACAAGTGCAAAAACTAAAATATTTATTGGCATTACTTCTATTCAATACAATTACGATTGTTCCCGACGAGTTTTTATATTTTGATAACATTACATAATAATCTCATTATAAATGTAATTAAATATTTTTCCGTCGATATGTCTAAATTAACAATAGTGGAAGAATGGAGACGAGAACAAAAGCCTGAGAGAGAACAAAGGGCTTGAGAATGAAATATTGAAAACATTTTGAGGGGATACAACTAACTAAATATTACTTAACTTTGCTTAATCATGACTTGAGAAATATGACCAAATTGTTAAAAATGATTAAAAGCATTAAAGTGCATGTGAGTTATTTTGAGGGGGCAGATTCAGAAAAAATATTAAAACACATAAAAAAAAATTTACAAAAAAACAAAAAGAAATTGGGTGGGGGCATTGTCCCCGCAAAACAATTAGCTCCACCCCTGTTCAAACAGAATTATTGTGCAGTCTGCCAAATTTATTATTCCCTTTCTTCTATCTTCCTAAGGAAGTGCAAAGAATTGATACTTTCCATCTGAGTTTGAATTTCTATACTTGCTATGATTCAATCTAATGAGGTTATGCCTGTATTTAAATTGTTGTTGATGCATATTACCCTTTCCTTTTAGAAAAATGCATTTGAGGTAGATTATGTGACATCTAACATTGTAAGGCATTTGAACCTTCCTAAAAACTTGTAGGAAGTGGTTACTTGCTCATCATAATGTGTTTTGCATGCTTTTTCGGGTTTAGCGTGTTCCTATCTCATTTACCCAGTATAAAGCATCAACGTTAGACATGATGTGACATGAGTATGAGTAAAGAGTATGTTTCTCTTGGATGAGGACCTAAAATCCATTTCCAACTGTAAAAGATTTATATACAGCTAAAAAATCTTAATCACACTTCTATTCAGTAAGTGCATGTTTTGAGGGCATGTCAAAGGAATTGCAGTTTACAAACCTGACTATTGTCTGGTCATAAATGCCATGGTTTGGTCATTGTACACGTCAAGTGACATCATTGTTATTCTTTAAATTATATATATATTTTTAGATATCTTTTACCTGATCAAAAGGGACTTTGACATAGATAATGGCCTGAAGAATCAAACCTTAAAACTACCGCAGGATAAGGTCTGAACTACGAATTGTTAGATTCGATGATATCTTTAATTTTAACTGGCCAGCCTCAGATGGTCACATTGTTGTGTAAAATCTGTCTGTATTATATCCAATATGTCATTGTATTTTTCTTATGCTCCGTACTGATATTGTTGTAGGAACTGATGACGATCTTCCTCCATCTCATCACAATAGAATTCCAAGAGGGGGTCGTGCTGTGGGGAATGGAAGATCCGCTGTTATGGCTTCTGTTCCATACCCTAGAATGTATGGTGAAACTGATATGGAGGCCCAAATTCACCTCCTTGAGCAGGAAGCATACATTTCAGTTCTTAGAGCCTTTAAAGCCCAAGCTGATGCCATTACTTGGGTACTTTTTTTTCAAATTATATGCATAATCTCCATGCTTTTGAGCAGGTTTGAATAACTGCTCAATATAATATATTTTCTTCAGGAGAAGGAAAGTTTAATAACTGAACTAAGAAAAGAATTGAGATTATCAAATGAAGAGCACAGAGAGCTTCTGAGCAGAGTTAATGCTGATGATGTTATCCGAAGGATAAGGTCTGCTAAGTGACCCCCAATAGCCTGATTTTCAGAGAGCTTTGGTCTGATCTATCTTTTGTCTTTTAATGGGTAACATTTGCGTAATGTGATTAGGGAGTGGAGACAGGCTGGTCGACTTCAGCCTGGGATGCTTAATACAGGTCAAGCTGTTCATGATCCCGTACCCAGCCCCTCTGTCTCAGCATCTCGTAAGAAGCAGAAGCTATCCCAATCATTACCTCCCCAGTCATTTGGTGCTCCATCCCCTTCTTTCCACCCCCAAGTGGAGGCTGCATCAAATCAGCCATCTTCATCAGCTGCAAAACGGGGGCCTATTTTGGGAACCAAGGGAAAGAAGCATAAGTCTGTAAGTTACGAATTCTGAGCGGGAATTGTAGTGCTTACAAAATTATTCTTTTCTGATATGTTCTTGTGAATGCTTTCCTCTGTTGTTCTTAACAGGGTCAGACACTGCCCAGTGCAGCTTCAATGAAAGTGCAGTACCCTTCATCGGGGCCAATTGGAAGGGGTCAGTTTGGTAATCGGGTTTCTTCTGGTACCCTACCACGTGAGCGTACTGAAACGGCATCTCTTGATCCATTGATTGGGAGGAAAGTGAGGACGCGATGGCCTGATGATAATAATTTTTATGAAGCTGTTATAACTGACTACAATGCAGCTGAGGTATATTTGACTTTTCATTGCTTATGGATTTAGGGTTTATTGTCTAGTGTAGTGGTAAAAGTCTGGAGCTGACAACTATTAGACTGGGGTTTGAATTTTAGGACAGTCGATTTGTGCAAATAATGAGAAAGATTAGGTTGTATCCACTCTACTAGAACCCTCAATTATCAAGGACCTAGCTGGGTAATGACCCTTATTGCTTAATGGTTTTTAATTTTCTGCCAGTTCAGTGTTAAAAAGGTATTTTTCCATTTCATTTTCAGGGACGACATGCTCTCGTTTATGATATAGGTACTGCAAATGAGACTTGGGAATGGGTCAATCTTTCAGAGGTATATATGATACTTTTTTGCACAATCTACAGTGTTCAAGTGAAAATAAAGTTGAGTTTCTGTGCAAAAAGAGATGGCTTTCACCATGTTCATGGCCCTGACTTGTTTCAACTTTTGAATACTTTATGTTTTTGTTTTTCTTCCTTTCATTTTTAACTCTTTGGAGTCTTTGGACTTGGATGGTCAGGGGTTGCAGGCAGTTCTAATATCTTCAACTTAATTTGTCAGTGTTTCAATTGGCTTTTATTTTGGTGAAAGTAAGCTTTATACACATTGGCTGAGTTTTGATGTGGATAAGTAAGCCATAGACTGCCATTGGGAGCACAAATATACATATGGACATATTGATCGTAAGTTTACTAAAAAAAATGCAAGAACTGAAAATTTAAGTGGAACTTCAGTAATGGCTAAAATAGTCTTTGAGCAGCAGCTGCGACCTAGAAAGATGTGGGGCCTGGGCCTCTATTTTCTCCCAAGTCATCCCACATTGTGAGGCATCTGTGTCACACAGCAAACTTTAACCACCTCACATGATAAGTTTGTGTTACTTGTCTATGAAATGGTTCCGTATGGAGGCTTGATTAATAAATAACTTCTTAATGATGGACATATGTGTCTCTGATATGGCATGTATAGAGAGTTCTTCTTTATTATATATTTCATCATTTTAATAGGTATGGATGGCATAGGCTTAGTCACTAGCTATCAGTTTGTAGGAATGATACATAAATTTGCAATCGTTATCACTTAGTAGAATATTTACGCCCTTTTGTGCTTATTTTCCCTCAGATGCAGTGTTCTTCGTTTAAAGCACTCCAGTGAAATTGTCTTATTGGATATTCCTATGTGCATTGGGAACCAACCAGAACGGAACCTGGATTTTATTCTTAGGGGGGCCAAATGTTATGAACAAAAATTCAGATCTGCAAAAATTCAAATTGCACACTTACAAACAACACCTTAAACTAACCGGTATAACAATGCACATAGAAAATATAATAATCAAAATTTTGACCAAAAAATATAATAATTTATTCATATCCACAAATACTTGTCAAAATCTAATTTTTTTAGTAGTAAAAATAAAAATAATAACTCGTTAATCTGTGTAGAAAAAAGCAATGAGTGAATTTGTTGTGGTTTGATTCACCAATTTTGCTCTTGGATGAAAGATGGATTAAATCTTTTGTTTCTAAGTCCTAGCGCAGTAGAATTTTTTTAGTTTGTCATGGGGTTAGAGATTCTCTTTATTTTAGACAGTGAAAGAATAATGAAAATTTTGACGAACTTGGAATGTATTATTATTTTATTGGATTTCTGTTAAAATGTATTACTCTTTATTGACTTTCCATTTTTCAAGACCATGTGTTAAGGAAATAATTGATATGTGATAACTCTCATACTGTTGATGAAAGAATAGAATAATACTTAATTGTGTTTGGCGGGTGGTCTACATTTACTTAAATCTCTATGTACCGAATACATCTAATATGGGGGCGCCAGTTTTTTTACCATTAAAACTCTCTCTCCCTTTGTTCAATATATATACCTAGAGGCTATAAAAAATATAAAGGGGCCATGGCCTCCTTAGGCACATAAGCTCCACCAGTGGAACTTAAGAAGCACAGATATGACACCACACGACATTTGTCAAAAAAGTAAGATACGAAGATGTTGGAGACACACTATAGATAATTATGATTTATATATAAAATTATATAATTTATCACAAATATAGTGATAATGATATATTATTCATAAAAAAAAATAGTATTTTATGATAAGTAAATGTTATATCTAGTCATCTAGTGTGAATTGATTACCATCATAATTGTAAAAAATTATCAATTTTTTTGTAGACGTATATCAAGCATATATAATTTAAATGATTGCACTCATTTTCTCAATTGTTGTTTTTTAAATCTTTTATGTATCTTTTGAGTACAACTTTGACATGTCTAGTCTCGGTAATTATATCTTTTCTCATAGTACATAGTATTTAGTAGTTAAATTTTTAATCTCTGTTAACCACATGTTTATTGTTTTGGTAGAAGACACGGTCTAAAGAGGTGTTGGACACATCACCAAAGAAATGTCGGACACGTGTCCGAAATTAAAATTTTATCATTTAATTATGAACACGAATAAAAGGATAAAGGACACGTGTCCGACATGGATACGTCACCTTCTTGAGAGTGTTCGTGCTTCACAAACCAGAACCAACCATGCTTTCAAATTGTAACAAATTTCCATTCAAGAATAACTGCATTAATTAATTCTATCAATTTTGTACGGCACGCAATCTAAACTTTCTAAGGCTAACGTATTAAATGGATGTAGGACATTGAAGTTTATTTTAAAAACTAATTTATGCCCGAAAGCATTCTTAATTAATTCTGTTTGTAAGGTCCTATCAACATTTTTATCAGGTTCGGCCAATAGGTTTTCAGGTACTTTAATACACTCGTCTTTGTTTTAAAGGGAAAGTGATTCAATTAAAGTCAACAGGGCATCAGCGTATGAGTCAGTATTAATGTAAGATGACGAGGAGAGAACCCTGATCACTCTCTTTCATCTGCAGAATTTTTATTTCTCAGTTTTCTTCATTTCTCTTCTTTCTTTCTCCCAGAGTTTGCATACACTAAATTAAATTGTGTTCAAGTTTATTATCATTGGTTCTTTGTTCTTGCGACAGATCTCTTCTGAGGATATACAATGGGATGGTGGAGACCCTGGAATTTCTCGTCAAGGAGGTTATGGCGGATCAGGCCGTGGGGTGAATAGATCTGTTGGGCGTGATAGTGTTCCAGGTGCAGGAAGAGGTAGGGGGGTGACAAAAGGTCAATCCAGAAAGGGTATTCCACCATCACAAAATGGCATGGGTAAAAAGGGGTCAGATGATATTCAGCTACTTCATACTGATACTCTAATTAAGGAGGTAAGGAAGAGCAACTTGAGGAATATCAGTATTTGTACATTCTGATTGCCATACGGTTTCTCATTGTCTTGGGAATTTGGACAGGTGGAGAGGTTATTTGGTGCTAGTCATGCGGACCCTCTTGAAATCGAGAAAGCAAAGAAAGTGCTGAAGGTCAGAAAAATCAACCATGCCGCTAATTAATTTTTTCTTGCATTGCCATCAGCTTGCACAACAAGTTTCAATGATTTTTGCAATGCAGGACCATGAACAAGCACTCACTGATGCCATTGCGAGGATTGCTGATATTTCGGATGGTGAAAGTGGTACAAATCTGCTCAAAGCCTTTTTACTTTTGGTTCAGCAATGCATCAATTAATTCTTTAACGATTTAGTCTCCCATGTCAGCTATATGCAATTTGTTCAAAATTATCAAGGCATTTTCGGTGTCTTGTGGAAAATTCAGTTATTTTGCTTGATATTCCCTGGCATTTCATGGAAAATTCCATCCCTCAGAAAGGATCTGTCTCGTTGTATTAACATATCTAAAAAGTAAATATTGTTGTAATGCGAGCATGTGTGCTTATTTCAAGCCAGTAGAAGACGGGAGAGGCCTTTTTTAATTTTTTTTAGTTCTGACAAATATGCTTTTAGACATTAGTGTAGTTGAGTACCCTAATTTGCATTCTATAAGTTGATTATCTTGGCTTGTCCGTGCTTGTGTCCACACGCACAAGTACGTTCAAGCCCTCTAGAAAGTTGATCTGAAAGTACCTTTTCAACTGATCCCATTCTAATTATGGTAATTCTTGTGCTTTGATGTAGATGAAGGTGGCCATTTCCTGCATGGCAAATGAGTTGACCGACAATGATTAGGCGAGGTTTTGTGATGGGTAGTAGAAAAGCTAACTTTGGCAAAGGAATTGGGGAGATGTAGTTGACATTCAAATGGAACTGAGGGCATGGATGTTTTTATCTGATGATTTGGTGAGTCTGTCGAATGTAACATTTGTTTCTAGGGTTTCGTTGTACATTATCATTTTTTAAATTATGCTTTCCCTACCGTTGAATTATTGTAGTCTTGGGTCACTTAGCGTCATAGGGTAGGGCAGATTTATAGCGAGGCTGATATATTTTTTTTTATTAACAGGTTGATGTTTGTGTAAAATTATTTGAGTAGCCATATTAACCTGTTATGATCATGTACAAAATTTTTCTTTACCGCTTCACTTTGACTTGTGTTATTTTTGTTCTGTTATATAATTTTAGAAGACAGGTATCCTTATCGACGTGTGCGTGGACTGGAGAGGAGTTGAAAACTAAATAAATTAGCAGAAATATATGCTTCTGGTTATTCAGTGCACTAGGTTCTGTCGTATTTAGTTTTTCTTTTTATAGTCACTTCTTACAACGTTTAAACCTAAGCAGGAAGAGTGTCGCCGATTAGTTTTAGTTGTCGGAGAAGGTGTTGGTATTTGGTGGGTAGAGAAACTGTTCATTGTCTTTGATTTCATCGTTGAACAATGGTGAAAAGAAGTGTTGATGGAAGTCGTTTCAACCTCTCTTTGAACCTCCAGTGTCCCTTCAAGGTTGTATTAACTGAATTGAGGAACCACTTCCTTACTTTAATTGGAATGTTAACATAATCCTTGTTGATCCCAAAAGTTGTTCACCATGATGTATGAAGTCGAACGACAAAGGGACTTCGACAATCGACCTTCCGATGGTAAGTTCAAAAAGAAGAGTAATGATATGTATTTTAAATTTGTAACTTAAATTTATATTTTAAATTAAAGAGGACTATTATATCAATGGGTCTTATTTAAAAAGGTTGATGGGATTCACTGATCCACTGATTTTTTTTATTTGGAATGTAAATTTGGGTTACAAATTTGGGATAAATAGCACTACTCCAGAGAGAATAATGGAGAAAAAATATATTTATTTAAGAATGAATTGCTTACCTAAATGATGTACAAGTAGACTCTTTCATAGGTCATATGATTTATTGTTAGAAGGTTTTCAACAATTATTTGAATGAAGTGGTACTAGAAGTAGAACATAAATTAGCATTTTTTAGCGTGGATATTTCAACTGATTTGAATTAGTCGAGACGAGTTGAACTGCCGAATTAGAGTGTTGACGAGCAAGGAGCGAAGGTCCTTATTGAAACTCTCACCTTATCAAGCTGCAGAGCTCATGAGCCAACCTCGTGCCTACTTTACTATTATCAATCCTTATCGTCGCATTCAATTAAAGAATAGTTTTGAAATTCTTACTAAACACATTAGTGAAAATTTGCAGCATTTATATTTAAATATTCATTTATTTAAAGAGAGATGTAGATATAGAATAATAGGATTATTTGTCATTAAGGAGAGTTGATTGAGTTATCTGACATTAATGGTCATGCAAAGATATAATTTTTTAGGTGAGAATTTTTCTTTTTGAAATAAAATTTATATCGTTAAATAAAATTAGATAAAAATTAAATCAATTTCAACTTTTGTTGTATTTTTATAAATGTACCATTCAAATTGTTAGTTAAAATATTATATAAATGGTATGTTGCATAAGCTTTTTTCTAACATGTGATATAATTATTTAGTAACGAATTATCATATAAATCAACAAACCTTTCATATTCGGTAATTATTTAATTATAAACCAACAAACCTTTTGTATTCCGTAATTATTTGATATTGTGCTTGTGTAGTGTTTATCATTACGTAAAGATATCACATATTATTAAGAGGGATTTGGAGGCCGGTCCAGTAGAATTCCACAAAAAGCACACTCGGTAATTTTCTTTTAATTTAAGTTTTTGTTGAAAAGTCAAAATAATAGACATAACTAACGTCATTTATAATCATAAAAAATAACGACAATGTCATCACCTAATTTAAACACATGTTTTAAAAAACTACATCAGCATAATATACATCTTTTTCCATAAACACAAATCATTATACAGGTACACTAAAAAAATATATACACAATTAAATGAATAAATATATATATATATATTTTCGAGCCAAAAAATAACAGGTACTTAATAAAAAAAATAACATGTACGCAATAATCGTTAGACAGGTGCATATACAAATCGTTAATGTACTTTCTTTTCAATAAATATAGATCGTCAGATAGATCACACGTCATCATAATGTCCAAATTGTTTGGTTTACGAGTTTGAATTTCAAAACTCATAGGCAATACCGCAAAAACCTCAACAATAAATGCCAAAAAAAAAAAAAAAATCAACTATATTTTAAGTTAAAACCACGTGATTAGGCCAAAATAGGTAATGAAAATAAGGAATTAATCAATCCCTCAACATTCGCAGGGTTTGGACAGCATGCAAGTTTTTTCAAAAATCAAAGAACTTTTTTTACACTAAAAATTCGGTAAGGCTAAAATTAATTTTCACATTAAATGAGTCAGCCTAATTTATTATATTAATAATCATATATTATTACTGTTACAATGAATATTTACTCGTATGGGTGTCACCTGCTGGCCCAACATTACAGTCACGTGCCTCCCATGAAACTGGATTGAATTATATGCTACGACGTTGTTTCAATCTGTCTTCTCTTTTGGACAGGCCAAAAGTTATTGGATTCAATTGGGCCCAATATATTACGGGCTGTACAACAATGTAGACATTTCGTGACATAGGGCCCAATAAGCGCGGTCTCGAATCCTAATTATAAAGCAAATTTAAATCTCAGGTTTGAGTTCCCGGAAACCGCCTCAGCGCGACATCGTCCTCAGCCAAACCCTAGGGTTTTACTGGCCTGTCTATTGTTTGCTCCTTTTGAAATTATAATTTCATTCGTCAGTATATATGAACACGCGCGCGCGCGCATATATTCACTTTGATTTCATAGATTTTTTGGAGTTGGTGTGTGGAGTTGTGGGTTTGAATCTGGTGTGGTGATGGAGTTTGGGAAGAAGAGAGACAGACCACATGGTGCCTTTGCCGTCAATGGAGGCTTCAAGAAATCAAAGGACGGTTAGTCTCACCTCTATATACAACTATTTGACATTGATGATATTGATTGATTTGAAGTTGTCCACTTACACACACACACAGATCCCAGCGATTCGGGTCAGCTCTATGAATCTGGTTATGTGATATGCTTGTTTGCATCTGATTTAAAAAGATGGAAAAAAAATTTCTTGTTTTCTGAAGAGTATAAACAGTGAATCAATATATGGAATTCGCCTCATACTATTCCGAAAAGTCGTGTCTAGGTAGTTGGACAAGAGTTCTGGGATTGAATATTACCATTCAGATTGAAAAGAATTTGGCCAGGATAGGCATTCCCTTCCCCTGGTTGAGTTACCCAATCATTGGATGTAATAAACAAGTAAAGCCCAAAAAATGGGATTAGACAACCGCAAGGGGTAGCTGAGGTGGTAACAGCTATCGTTAATTCAGATCTCTTTAAAAAAATTATCCTCGTGAATATCCTAATTCTCCGATCCCCGGCCTTTGACCGGACCGGGGAAGGAAATAGTCGAGGTGGCCATAAAAAAAAAATGGGATTAGACAAAGAAGTGACAGTAGTGTTTCTGACTATTCCAAAATTTAGAATGCTCTTTCTTGGCCAAGTTTGGGGGTGGAGTTTGAATTGTTGTGGTTTGGACATCTTTGTTTTGCTGGACGAGAGATCAGTATAGAAATAGATGCGGCAAAATTTGATGATGTGCTTTGAAGAATATATTTTCTTGATTCTTCGCTGCACTATATACCAAAGTTAAGAAGTTATTTATATTTATATACCTTATTTTTGCTGAATTTATTATATTTCTATGGATGGGTGATTTTCGATGTTGTTGTCATTAATAATTAATAACGTCGTGAATCCTGGATTAATGTTTTTGCAACAGATACAACCGGTGTAGGAAGCAAATCAAAGCCATGCTCGAAGTTTTTCAGGTTATAATCTTAACCCATCCGAGATAAATAATTCTCAATTTAAGACCTTTATCATGGAAATCTAGCCTTTAAATATTTTTTGTTTTACTAGCAACCACAGTCATCTAAGTTTTCTAGTTGAAAACAGTTCAATATAACGAATGATACTATAGGTCATTGAAAAACCGTTGTCGGGTAATGTAACTCTTTTTCATTGTGATTTACATTTATGCCTTTATCTCGGAAAATCGTCATATCTATATCCTTGTGAATAATTGACACGCTGCATTGTTTGGGTTATTATCTGAAATATATTTAATTCCAGCAGTTTTCTCAATTTAATTAATAATAAGGGATCATGAGGGGATCCATAGATATCAAGATTTTTGGCCTGGTGGTTCAATGTATTTGCACAATCAATTTCTCATGGCCCCCTGAGATCTGGTCTAACC